CGTAAATTCAATTTTTCGACTTGAAATGCACGGGTATGGAGTAACTGACTATTATTTCATGTCTTAAGATCGTAAATCTATAAATTGAAAAGGTTGGTAGCTTTCTATAATTTTTTTTTTTTTTTTTTTTTTTTTTTTTTTTTCTTACCCTCCAAAAAGTTTATTGAAACAATTACATATATAGTATACAATAATACAATATAAACATGTGATAAATTCCTTCCACTGCCCGAGGGCATTTTAAGGATTGGGGATAGCTAAAGGTTACATATGTGGCAGAAGGCCTTGTGAAGTAGCTTTCTATAACTATAAGCCCTCTCTATATATAAGCTTACAATCACAGGTAGATCTACGGGAGGGGCTTTCAGGCTGAAGCCTCCCACCCCAAAAAGGTAAAATGTAGCCATGTATAATGGAAAAAAATATTAAAAAATAATCTGTTAAAGCATTATTATACGTGTAATGCATTTAATAGGACTTTAAGAATCACTTAAACACTATTTCATGTAAGTACTTAGTATCTTTCTTTTTTCCAAAATAATTATCGTTATATGCATGAAAAAAAAAGCCTTCGGGCTGAAGTCCCCCCCCCCCCAAAATTAAATCTTGGACTCGCTAGTGCTTACAACCTATGTAGGGTCTCCATCTATCTTCACATGACTGCCATTTTGTATTCCAGCGGCTATATGCTGGCATGCGTGCAGTCTTCTGAACAGGCCTGTAGATATGATCAATTTATAAGAACAAAGCTTAGTATGAAATACGACACTTTTTTTTGCCATGGGCTCCCGGACTAATTGGGTATTTTCGGGAATCTAGGAATAGCGTGTTGTGGTGGATTTCAACACAATTCATTTTTTAGAAGTGAAAAGGTACTAGAAATACCAAAAAAGTTCAATAAACCGAACAATTAATTACTATATTACATTACAGGCAATATACTGATGACTAATATTTTATATGATGCAAATTTAATAAGAATTCAACATTTCAAAAAAAAATATATACAATACTGAAATGCCTGAATACTTTCACTCCTCTTCTGTAAATTTCAACGTTTTAATTTTCTTTTTATTGTTGTATTAATCTTTCAAAGCTTAAATATGCGTTTAATGCGATTTCTTCAAAAAGGCAAATTTCGTATATTTTAATCTCTAGCAATCTTAGGAGGCTACTCTATAAGACAGTATGCAAAACTTAAAAAGATGGACTGACCTCCCTTAAGGACTGTAGATCACCTTATGATATCCTTAAATATAATGTTCGCAAAATAGGACTTGCTTTTACAAGTATTAAAGCCAAAACAAGAACAAAAATATACATATTTCTGCTAAAAGACGGAAAGTTTAACTTACTTTATAATCTGTTACATCATCCTAAGTAGAAGAAATAATCTTCAATTCCTGTGTCGCTAAAATAACCATAAATTGTCACTCAAAAATACTCACACATCGGGCATTGGGCAAGTTTCTAATAAATCCAGTGAATTGATGGAATCCATCAACCGATGATCCATTTATGGAAAGCGATTAATGGTGAGTTTATTTTAGCTGAAGTTAACTATACTTTTTTATATTATTTTGCAACACAAATGTTTTTGCTGCATACTTTAAATTTTTTCGTTTTAATATTTTAACAACTTTCTATAAATTTTGTTTTTAGATTTGTTCCAATATCTTAATGAGATGAACCTTTTCGGTCTTTTACAAAGTTATTTTAAGGTAACCAACGCGGCCACACTTGTCGCTTAATCCGTCGCTCATAAAAATTTAATTTTAAATTACCAATAATAATCCATAACATCATGTAGATATGATAAATGTAAATCCATCACCTGAGATGTCACATCCACTGGACTAATTATTTCAACATACATGACAATAATTCTACCCAAAAAGAGGCAAGTCAGTCAAGTGTCGTGCTGAGCAAACTATACAAAGCAACTGTTTGGAAAATACCTTTATAATGATATTCATTATTTACATGTTTGACAGGCTAGAATACACACAATAACCTTAATAATCTGTAGATAAACAAGTAAGAGTATAATACATGCTATTAGGTTATGGAAGCTGTCTGTTTGGTGATGCCTGAAGCGTAAAACTGATTCAGTGAACTGTCATGCTTGGTTGTATATTTTTCTCTTGCCCGATAGAGAACAAGCGAGAATCGAATGTTGCCATCGCTACAGCACACAATAACTAATTGATTTTTGATAACTAACTGACTAATTGGCCGACGCTGCCATGTGGGCCACCCCGGGGCAGATGGGCCGCTACTCGGTTACCAAACAAACGGGAGCCAGATCGAGGATTGTTGTCGAGTCCGCAGGATGCCGGACCCCCACGGGCCCCGCCCCCGGAGGAGGTCTCTATCCTCCTTTGTCTAGAAAATAAAAAGTGCTTTGTCCCTACCAACCGTTTCCCCTTTTTGACTATCTCTGACTAAATGCTCTCATTGTGCCCCGCGTGTTCTCTCTTCAGCTTCGAATCTGGTCTGCCTTTTGAGCAAGGCCGCGGGATACTCGGGACCCACGTGCGCGAATCTTTTCCTTCAGCTTGAGTTTGGCTCCGGATGGCCGTTAATGGGGCCCATTGAGTCCGCCTAAACAATGCTTCATGCCTCGATCATAATAGGGTCGTAGGATAAAAGGGTTTGTCAATTATTGATCATAAACACAGTATACAATATCAAAACTATCTTTAATTGCCTATACCGTCAGCATTGGGTAGGATAATTTTAAGGTATACATGTATCGGGAATAGGTTCGATAACAGCGGGTGGAGAGGGTACCCTACGTTCATGAGTCTATTAAGCATCTAGTGACATTTTAAAAACTAGTTTAACTACAGTGCAGGCCTTAGGGTTCGGGCTATTAGCCGAGGGCGCCGATCTGGAGGGAGTCGCGATACTTGTTAGGAATAAAAAAAAGCATTACAAAGCATATGGAAATAATTAATTTTTGAATATTAACAGAGTCATGATGTCAATGTCCTGGGCACCACATATCAAGGGCCATCACTGTATCAGGAAAGCTGGTAGCAAGAATATGAAATATTAATTAAGTGTAATTTTATTCCTTGCTCTTACCTATTAAATATGGTAATTTTAACACTGATTTAAACTTCTGTTCTTAAAGTAAGATATCTTCACAAATTCAACTACTATATAGATTTAGAGCTATATATAAATACTGTGATAACAATTATTCATTTCCTATTTTGTTCAAAAATTATTGACTATCTTATTGTATTGGTCATTGGAGAGGAGTTTGGATTAATATTTATATTTATTATTTATCAGGATACAGGCCAACGGATGGACCATATCTATATCATTTCGAGGGTTTTTTCTTCTTCTTTTTCACCCATATTCTTTTAATTTTTTCCATTTCCCCGTTTCTTTCTTCTGTCCATTTCTTATATTTTTTCCTTCACTACAAGAGCCTGTATATTTTTCACTATTTTCCCGAATTTGTCCCTATCTTGGTAGCCTTCCTCTTTGATACCCATTTTTTTTCACTTCTTCTTTTATTTGTTCCAGCCATTTATGTTCTTCGATCCCATTACTTTATCGAATATTAGTTGGTTTAATTTAATCTATATATACCGATCTATTTTCTTCATATACCCAAAGAACTTAAATCTCTTTTTTTCATCTATGATTCTATATATATATATAAATCCCCTTTGGATCAAATGAGCTTAAATTAGGTATGAAAGTATTTTCGGATTCATTCCTTTTTATCATTGTTTATTCTTTCATACAAGGCAAATATAAATTATTATAGTAAACTTCAGATCCAGTAGCTGTTGTTAAAAAAATCACAAGCTAGCAAGATTCCAAATTTATCGAACATTTGTGTGGAAGTACAAGAGTATAAACTATAACTTGCTAAATAAGAAAATAAGACAACTTACTGATTTGGAAAAGCATGAGGTTGGACGCCTGATAAAATTGTGTCCTCCACAATCTATGCTCTCTTAAAAAACTGATAGTTGGTTGTTTTTGTTAAGACTATGTTTTCAATTCTTAATCAAGAAAAGACGACCTAACGGATGATGCTCATGCTTTTTATTTTACATTCGCTTACCTATAGATGGATATGAAATACATAGAAGTGTTGCAACCAATAAAAAAAAATCAAAACTGAGTTTTCAAATGGAAATACAATTTCAAGTTTCCTAATCCAAATAACTCTCCCGCCAATTGATCTGTAGGGGTGTCATGAGTAGTCTAGCTCAAAAAGAAGTAATAGGAAACTGAAATTACCTGTTTAAGATAGTTAGGTATATCTCTGTAATGATGAACATCTTTCATCAACAGGTTGAATTTTCATTGTGCATTTTTCAAAGTTTGCAGAGTCCTACAAATCTAATGATTTTGAAGAAACATGCCATGAAGTGCTTTTATTTTGTATATATAGTACATCTCCAAGAAAAGGAAGGAAAAAACTACTGGAGAAAAAAAAAACTTCATTTTGTAATTTTGAAAAATATACATTTTGTGATGAATTCCATTTTTATCACTTGAAATGTAATGAAATTCTGTACAAAAAAATAAATAAATCAGACCATTATTAGCATAGATACAGCCTATTGACTCTGTACCCATATTTTAAAAGTATTTTGCATAGCTTTTCTTGGAAACTTTTCACTTTAATTATTAGTTTTTCGATTAACTAGAGAATTAAACAGCTTCTGGAACTTCACATAGCTTGTTTGAAAGGTAGTAACAGTCTACCAGCTCTTCTAAACTAAAAAATATATTGAAATACCTTGATTAGACCAATATAAGCAAAAAAATTTGATATTGGTCTTTGCACCCGAAGCAGTATAAGTGAATATATTTTGATCGAGAACGATAAATATAAGCAGTTCTTTGTCCTTAAATCTAATAAATAATAAAAATAGCTAAGACACAATTCAGCTTTGTGGCATTTTATAGAACGCAATACATTTATTCAAGATAAAAGGAATTAAAAGAACAGAATTTGATATAAAACTAAAAAGGCATGTATTTACACAAAATGGTTATTTTTACTGTTATAATAGTGCTTTTCAATACATTTGTGTTATAAATATTCAGTATTGTAAAATAAGAATTAGATTAAATAAAAAAAAAAACTGAAAATATTGAATGACTAAATATAACCGACAGGGAAATGACACCTTCGTTTTAACAAGGCCAGATAATTAAAGTACAAATAAATAGAAGTAATGTTTTTAAGTTTAAATAGCTAATAGTGTATCCCATGTACTTGATTAAAAGTTTGATTAATTATTTTCTAGTATTCTTACCATTGTGCATACTAAATAAGGTTTTCTTAGAGGATAAGGAAAAAAAACTTTATGAAGGTAGGGTAAATTAATCACCAGTAGCTGACATGCTTGAGGAAATTATTTTGAATTATAATATTGTATTTTTCCTGGGATTTTCTTATAGAACCAATTCCCAGCTTGAAAACTAGCAATTAAAATGGAAGAAATATTCATCTAAAGTAAAAAAAAATATGGAATTAATAGAAAAGTTTTGTTGTACCTATAGCTGACACTGTTGGAGTTGGAATGTTCTTATAGTTAACAGAGATGTAGGCAAGAAAGTAGTCATGCAAAATAATTTGTTAATACATCATATTCTTATTTATTTTATAATAGATATTAAACAAAATTAATCTTAAATTTATTATAAAACTAAGATTCCGTTACTTTATCAAAATTGGCCAGCTATCTAACTCAATTTAAAAAAAAAAAAATCGGGTAAGTATAAAGTAGTTAGGAACTTTTACCTTATGTTAAGAAAAGCTATCTATAAGGTAAATTGGACCAAAATACACATTAGGCACCTTAGATCAACTAGAAATAAACAAATTTACTGAACAATTGGTAAAATGAGGTAAGCCATTTTATCACAATAAAGAGATTACAATGACTCTGAGATAAGAATCAGAATCTTTTATTAGCTAGGGGTGAAAAATATTGGCCAAGTACTTGTAAAAATTGGTGTATGCATCCAGCAACTGTGTGATTGGCCCATATGGCATACCCCTTGTTTCAAGGACACTGAATACAATATCTGAAGGTATCCTTTTGTTTGAAGATAATAGAAGGCAGGAGAATTACACCTGAAGCACTAGTTGACAACAAAACAGTCAGACACTCCTTTTCATCTGTGCTTACTCTTAGATATATTCTCATTTCCCTTTTCTGCAAAAACTGCACTTTCATCTGCATTAAAAAAACAACTTGCATCGTCCAAGATATTTAGAAGTATTTTTTCTTCAAGGTCTGACTGGACATTTAAATACCATATCTTCAAATTTACCATTCACAGAGGCTCTCGGAATGAGGTGAGATTTTCAGGAGTTCTAAAGCATAACCCCAGGTTCTGTTTAATGAAAAGATTAAACCATTTACGATCAGGGAGGTCACGTTTGAAGGGAATTTCCCGACCTAAATTTTACAGCAGATGGACATAGTCAATAACCCGATTTTTAGCAACAGGAAAACCTATTTTTGTCATGTATTTAGTATTTAATCTAAATAACTAATAAATTTTCTTCTTCATGAGAAAAAATGTTCGATGGTCCCATTTTATGCTGAATTGAGTACTTTCCACTGACTTTATAAGGGAATATTATACGCGGGATTCTATTTTTATGTGAGGCACCCGCTATCGACATTCCCCTGAGAACATTGTCAAGGGCTTTGGCTTTTTCTATGTCTTCCTAAGCATATTTTAAAATATGTTTTGATATCGTAGCCATAGAGAAAATAAGCTTGAAGAAAGAGAACACAGAAATCAAATGTTATTCCAATAGTTGGCATATCTTTTTCCATTACTTGACATCCTCTGTCAGCTATTGGAATATATAATCTATATTGCAAATAGTCTCCAGTGGTAAGCCTATATAACAAAATAGAATAGTTGAATAGAAGAAATGATGTTACTAAAGCTGTGCAATAACCCAGTAGGGTACTGGAGAAAGATACAATATGAGGTTCCAGTAGCTGACACATTAAATTCTTCAATTCCTTCAAAAACAATTCAAAACAGAAAATAACATAATCTAAGACTTTAAGAAGGAATTAAACAGAAATTTGAGGATAATACAAAGTAATTACAAGAGGAGAAGAAAAACTGTACCTCAGTATCCTTACAGGAAGATGGTTGTCCTGGGAAAATAAATCAACTCTGAGGAACCTTCCCGACTTATTTAAATTACTTTTTCCTTTAAGACCCAAGCAGAATAGACCAATATTCGAGGGGATTATACAGAAGGCAATAATATTCAAAATAATGGGCTAGGAGGTTCCAAAATCATATTCTTCAGGTGCTATTCAAAATCATATTCAGTAGTGCTGGTCAACTACTGGTGCTTTGACCCTATCTTTAATCAAGTTTTTTTTTTTCTTAACTAATTGTTTTAAATTAAATTTTTAAGTGTAACTAACATTTTTAATGAAAATTAGATAAAACCCTAGGCCCTTAACTGAAATGATATCTCTACCAATAATTTAAGATTAATTATTAAATTAAAGCTTTTTTAATTTTAATTATAATTATTTATGCAAGGACGGAATCGATAAAACAAACAATTACAATTTAAAAAAAACTTCCACTAAGATAAAGGCAAAACACAAATGATTCCCACAATACATAAAAAAAATTAAAAGATAAAAATAAATATATTTAAATACAAATCCTAAAACATGAAATGTAAAATTATATATGTATAACAATGAATAACATTTATTCAGTCATGATCATTAAAAATATTTAAATTTATTTACATTGATAATAATATTATAACAATGAAAAAGCAATTATAAAATATAGCTTTTAATAAGAGATAATGAGGCACTTTTTCAAGTAAATATACCAATATTATTCACTGACACATTTAGTCTTCACCAAAATCAATCCTGAAACAGACGCCAATGTATTAACACATAATACAAAACCAGCAATACTTTAAAATGGTTTTATAATAAAGATGTACATATCAGGGATTGGAACTTAAATAGAACGTTTTTATAAAGTTACATTTTAAAAGTTTCTGTAAAACTTTTTGGGAAATGTTTTTTTTAAATAATTCTAAGGAACTTGGTTCATGGCAAAAGTTCAACTTTCATTTTACTTTGGTTGTTCCACTTTTAAATTCAGTTTAAATCAAGTTTTTTTTAAGACGCACTTGATTACTATACTCACACAGATATGTAAGGAATAACTTATTTATCATTTATTTATCTGTTTTATGACACAATAACAATTCTTAGTTTGATGGGAGAAAAATCTCATCCAAAATAATGGATTATTAAAATTAGTATTTTTTATCAATCATTAAATAGTATATGAAGAATAAATGACCTTTTTGTTATTACGATCTCTCGAACTAAGAAACAGTTACATAATCAAGATTAAGAAGTAGAATAATTTTCATTTTCTCATATTCTTCCACATTTTTTTTGCAATAATCAAATTACATAATCATCAATTACATTTTGCAAAATATCATAAAGAAAATAAACCGTAAGGTTTAATAAACTTACCTAAGGCGTTTATTAGCCGATGAGCAGACTGAATGGTCACAAGAACAGTTTTCATTGCAGGGTGAAGCTGACTTCTTGCATATGCAACCTTTTTCACACTTACCAATACACGTACATTTTTCATCCTCTTTACCACTGTTTCTTTTCCCAAGTTTCCCTTTCTGAAAATAATGTAATAGATTTAAATTTAATATTCCATTTTTGCATAAATAAAGTAATTATGCAATTGTTTCATGGCAAAATTAAAGTGAAATTCTTCATAGCAAATTTTGTAAATACTACAAAATATTAACAAAACGATTCAAGTTCTTATTAATAATCATATATAATGAGAAGAAAATGAAAGTGAGGAGACATAGTGACTTTGGAATATTCAAGCCATATTACAGCTCTCTAAGACTATACCTCTTCTCTTTAAGTATCAATAAAAAAGAAAAATCATACAATAAAATGTCAAAGAGCAAGAATGACAGAGACTAATTAAAAAATAATTGAGTACAATCAACACCACATATGAACAGTAGTAAAATACAAAAATAACAAAGGTTTTAATAATTCCTAAAAAAAAAAAATCAAACAAAAAAAAAATGATTTCACTAATGAACCACATTATCGCAACAGATATTTCAATATGAAGTAAGAAGTTCACAAATGAAAATTACCATAAAATAATTACTTATAAAACAGAAATAATATGAAATACTAACTCTTAGTGCATGGATTCTCCTAGCAATAGGAGTTTTCCTCCAATCTGGATCATTTTCTGGGTCATCAATATCAATTTCTCCAGAATCATCAAAAGCTCGCAATGTTTCTTCATCAGTCACAGCATAATTTTCAACTTTTTTTTCTTTTTTCATTGTTCGTTTTTTAGACTGATATAAAAATGAAAAGATTATTTAAAAATAAATTACAAAACTGAATTGTATATTATGAAGTTGTTAAATAATGAAATGTTAAAAGCTTAACAGTAAAATGGATACTTACTGGGACAATAAAAGTGGTATTTCTTTCTTCCAAAAATTTTTCAAATGGATTCAAATTTTCCGTTTCCTAAAAATAGAAGTAATATAATGAAGAAAAAAGAAAGATATCACATTCAGCAAACAGCCATTAATGGTTAATTGATGAGTATTTCAAAAGAAAATATACTTACCATCTGATTGCTACCATCCATTGCCAACCGCTTATTTTCTTCTTCCAACTCTTCAATCCTTTTCCTCAACTGCTCTAACTTTTCAAGTTCCTGAGTCTGTATCCGGAATTTTTCAGAAAGTGGTCCATCCTGATTCTTTTCAATATTTTCTGAAGCCATTTTCATGAATAAATAGACCTATAATTTCAACATAAATGTAATAAATATTCTGAAATTGAATTAAATAACCAATGCAACAGTTTCATTTTTTTAAATTAAAAAAAAAAAAGTGTTACCAGAAAATAATTTAGCATCTTTTTGCAACAATTACATAAATTAATTTTCTTCAATTAAAAATTAATCTCTGATAAATATAAATAAAAAAAGTGACCATCAGAATATTTACTTTTTCTTCACATTCTTTTTCCATTCTTTCCAGTGCCTTTTTATGGTATGATTCTAGATTTTCCAATTTCGTTCGATACTCAGATAGTTGTAAATCTGTTTCAGACTGTTGTTCCTAGAAGAAGAAAAAGTTGTTTTTAAAAATGATAACATTTTAATTTGATAAATAGTAATTGTTACGTTCCAACTTTATGCTGTAAAATATATTTTGTAATTTTACGTCATGGGCATGGAGATCTACCTCATAGCCATAGTGAAAGCAATTTGTCTAGAAGGCAACTCCGAAATGAAATCAAGGGTAGGTTGGACTCTTCAGCAGTGGTGAAAGCAACTAGCCCAGAAAAAAAAAAAAATCCTGAAGACAAATGACCCGGTCCTCCAGGTTGGGGGTTGAGTGTAGGGATAACAACCCCTCCTCGGAAAAAAATTAATGTTCAGAAAACTGAAAGGGGGCGGGGTTCCGAATGAGCTAACGTCTGTGCACAGCGTGATAGATTAAAAAGTACGAGTTCACGTCCCAGTGCCGGAGGGGATTTTAAATTCCCGGCCCGGGAAAACCCCTAAAAGACGAGGTAGAAAAGAACATAAAAGTTTAGGAAGCTGAGTTAAAAGGAATAAAATCTGTTGTTTTGATTTCTAATGGTAAAAGACCTAAGCGCTCTCAAGGGACTAAACTAAAATGAAAACAATCTGAGGTTTCATTAGCCACATGGAACGTAAATACAATGTTAAGACCAGGCAAAATGAAAGAAATTGCCGACCAGCTCATAAAGTATAATATAGATATTAACTGCATTGTAAGAAATAAGATGGAATGGAAATGGATCAAAATAAGGAATTTTAGGTTTGAAAATGTACCCATATTTGTGTATCTCTGTTCTGCCCTAAATAATGAAAATGTATTCAGCAGAGAAATAAACAACAGAATAAGGGCTGGTAATAAAGCTAACTAACTATGCAAACCTAAAACTTCTCAAGTCTCCATTATTGTCAAAAGCCATAAAATTAAAGCTGTATAAAAACGCTTATTAGACCAGTAGTCACCAATGGAGTAGAAACCTGGTGTTTATCACAAGAGGATTGCCATAAACTAAAAGTATTTGAAGGGAAATTAATAAGAAGGATTTATGGTGCTACAGGAGTTAATGGTGTGTAGAAAATCAAGTGACAATGAAATCAAGGCTATATTCAAGAATCAAAACATTACTAACAATATCAGGGCAAGTAGGCTGAGATGGGCAGGACATGTGGTCAGAATGGAGAATGAACGGGTACAGAAGAAAATATCGGAAGCGCATTTCAGAGGGCAGAGGAAAAGAGGAAGACCGAGAAGCAGATATAAGGATGAAGTGGAGAGATACGGGATGAAGTTAGGAGTTTGTAATTATGAATTGAAATATACTGTGCAGGTATTAAATATATTTCTTAATAAATAAAATATATTTGAATATACAAAATCAGTGAAAAATGCATACCTTTAATTCAGCCAAGGCAGCAGCATAGTTCACGCTCTCCTTAACTCTTTCTGAAGCTAAATTAAATAAATATTTCAGAGCAAATTTAGCATCTGCCATGGACTGCAAGACCTCCAAATAATGCTTATTTTGGTCATCTGTAATTTTAATTTTAAAATTATATTTTTGAAAATGTTTTAAGAAATAATCATTATCATTAATTAAGGTTTATTGATTGAATAACCTTGCTGAATATCAAGAAGTTTTTGTTGTAAATCTGAAATCTCGACTGATCTCATATCTAATTCATTTTCTACTTGTTTAGCATCAATTCTCAATTTGACCTTTTCTGCTTCAGAGACACTATCATCTTCCAGAGATTCCTAAAACAAATGATAATAATAAAATATAACATTTCTACAGAATATTCACAGAATAAAAATTCAAATTAACAGAGATTAGTTGTAGCTAACCCTTAAATTTCATGAAAACCCATGAATGATGAGAAAAACCCAACACGTCATAAAATACTAATTAACACATAAATAAATACAAGAGCGAATATGAAGTCAATAGTATCATGGAATTTCAGTGAAACATAGAAGAAAATATAAGCCAAAAGTCTATTTTGAAATAACTTAACTTATTATTTCTAATAAACAGGATTTAAAATAAGAATACTTAAAAAGTAATGAAAACATTAAAAATCTTTAAAAGTTGAAGTTCTCCCAGTTAACCACCAAAAGACATTTAGAAGGTTAAATAAATAAATATATATATAACAGTAACTACTCTATTCATTCTTTTCATTATTTCAAAATGAATTTTTTTTTTCATAATAATTGAAGGATCAAGTGTTTAAAGGTGATAAGTGCATTTTTAGGAAAAATTAAATTACTGCTAATGACTCATTCCATCAATTGATACTATCATGTCCCAATGAAATTGTGGCTTTAGTGTTAAATTCTTGTAGCTGACTTATACTAGTATGGAGGAAACATTTAGTAAAGTTAAGTGAAAAGTTTCTACAATTTTTTTAAGTTCACTTTAATCAACTGTCGTCCCCAGAACATCTTTTATTTTCTTGTATTTAACTATTAATATAAATTAACCAATACATTACAACAAAATTCTAAAATTACTAAGGATTTCATATATATGTTCCATTAAATAACTATAAAACAAGCAAAACTTATAATTAGTATTTAAGGACATAAAATAAATAAGAGACATAAAATATTTATGAAAAGAAATAAAGATATAATTATAAAATGTTAACAACTTACCTTTATAACAGCTAATTCTTTAGTTAATGATGCTCTGTCCTGAATAAGCGTTTCTAGTGATTTTTGGGCCTGGTATTCAGATTCCAATAGTTCTAGTTCTTCTGTTAGCCGTTCTTTAATTTTTTCACTTGCAGGACCTTTATTCTTTCGTTCTCTTGCATTCTTTTGTCTTTCTAGAGCAGCCTATTAAAATTAGGTAAATTATACAACATTTATAACAGGGAAATCATAATAAACAGAAAGATTTAAATATTCATCAGCTAAAATAATACATTTTTTTATATATTAAATAACATAGTAAAAAAATCTAATATTTACCATTATTCTTTTATTAGCAGCAGCAGCAGCTTCTAACTTTCTACGCAGTACATTTTGCTGCATGGAATGAAGCTGTTCCATTTTCTTCATTTGATTTAGTTTTTTCATATTTTGACTCTTGAGCTGGCAAACCTCTCTATCTTTTTCAGCTTTGAAATTAGAAAATCGTTCATTTTCAGTTTTCATTTGTTGAATAAGTTTAACTTTTAACTGCTTCATTGACTGAAAAAAAAACAACCAACAAATATATATGCAATTCCATTCCATTTTCAAAATGTAATTATAGTGATACTTCATAAAATGTGTTAAAGGAACAAGAAAAACAAAAAAATTAAAATCCTTAAAGGCAAAAAAACTAAAAATGAAGAAAATACATGATCCCTTTTTATAATAAATGACAATATAATTATTTTTAATAATTGGTACATTAAATGATTAGAATAAAACTTACCATTATTTCTTGTTTCAACGCCATAATTTTTTCTTCTGACTTCTCTTTCATTTTTATTACTCTTTCTTGTTCAGTAACTTTCTTTGTTAATGAAGAAACTTTAGACTCCAATTCTTGTAAACGTTTTCGTCTATTTTCAGCAATTCTGAGAAATAAATTGAAATATAATAAAATCAGTTGGGATATTACACTGACCTCTTACACATAATCAATGTGTATGATTAAGGAAAAAAAAAAAAAAATTAAAAGAGTTCCCAGAAACAGGAGATGCCAATGACAGAAGGACCTTTTTTAAAGTCAAGAAACCTGAAAAACGTACTTTTACTCATTACCATAATTTCTCCACCTTAGGTAACTCATCGTGATAACTGCTTTTTTATTGAATAGCTTAACTCTAGAATGGTTTGGTACATCCCAAAATTTTAATGTCTATAGAACATTATTTGTATGCCCAGGAAAGCTTATATGACATTCAGAAATTATCTAAGTGATTAGGAAAAAGAAAAAATTAAGTTTTGAAGATTTCCTACATAGGTTCACAAAATGTAAAATTTTAACATCTTCCTGAAAAAAAGATTGAAAAATAACTAATATTTTTTCTTTGAAAATGATATCAGTCTTATTGGTACTTGGCGGGAGGAAATAGTCTGAAAAGTGGACCTGTCGTGGCCCTTTATGACAACCCCTGACACTTACCAGAATGGGAATGTCAAGATTCACTTCCCGCTCAGCCGCCGAGAAATGAAAAGTAACCGACCTAGGTGGGAATCAAATCCAGAACATTCAGAACCAGGCACTCTGGAATCCGTGCTCCAATGTGCTCGGCGATTCGGTCCTTTATATTTTGAGTTAAGTAGAATCCAAGAATACAATTTTTAAAAAATCTGCAGTTCTACATATTTTCTCTAGGAATAAGACTGATTTTTTTTAGATGAGATAAAAGCCACAGGATGATTTTTGGAACTCAAAATGAACATCAGACATTTTCAATAATTAATATGTTTAATTATTTATCAATAATTATAAAATATGTTTCTGAAATTACTTTTTTTTGCCTAACAACCTTTTATGGATAAGTTTCAGAATAACTGTGTGAAGGCAACTTGTATTAAAAAAGTTTTAAAATAACCTCATCAAAAAGTTATAATGAAAAAGTTCAAGTTCAATAAAAACTTCAAGTAAGATAAAAAAATAATAAAAGTTTAACTAAAACTTTTTAAAAACCCTAACTTTTCCAATCACTGTAACAATATCTTCCAACAATCAACAATTATCAACCACAATCAAATTTAATGGGTTTAGGAAAATATGAAAGCAAGGCTTTTTTTCTTGTTAACGGTAGAGGGAAGAACCTGCTATATAATGATGAAGTAGAACAAATCTTTTTTATTCTTATGCTATAATCCCTAATATTGTTACTGTATACTCCCACATTACACTAAATATCAACATTGTGGGTAACTACTTGTCAATAGTCAAATCTCTATTTGTTACAAGAATTCTATTATAGAATACTTTAAAGATAATGTAGAATAGTTTACTGTAATATAATATTGAGGAAAGAGATAGTTGAAACTATTTTATTAAGCCAACGTTTCGACCCAACTACAGAAGTTTTCATCAGTGTTAGAACAAACTTCTGCAGTTATCTATCTTTTATCTATTTGTATATATTTCTCAACGAATACTTTTAGTTAAATACCCTACATAATGCACCGGGTAACTAGTTTAAGCTAGTTTAACATATATTTCCTTCAACCTTCCTAACTTAGTGGCAAACTCTTCAATATCTAAAAGGTACAGTCTTTAATTCCGTATTTATTAGTCTCAGAAACAAGACAAATTATAAACGAACACTTCCCTATAAATTCCATAAATTGTTTATCATAAGTGACATGGTTAAAATGTGTACAGTATTAGTTTTATAAAAATTTCACATGTATCTTTTATGAATGCCATTTTGTCATTTGCTCATCTCTTGTATCCTCAGTTTGTCATCATACCTCAGGTAATAAGAAAGAAAGCTGAACCTTTCTTAAGTGTTTTAAAACAAAGTAATCTAATAACTTTATTTTAAAAACCTAATAAAATAAAATACATAATTCAATAGATGGACAGTGCATAAATTATTGTTTAATCATTACTTACTTCGCAGATGCGCTTTGACCACTACTACTATTTTTCATCTGTTTTAGTAAATCATCTTTTTCCTGTTGAAGTTCAGCTAATTGACGTTTCAACTCTTCAACACTCTCTTCAGATACACCATTTATCCGACCAAACTGACCAGAATTTTCAGAAAGTTTTGCCATCAGTTCCTCTTTCCACATTAAATCTTTAGATAAAGCCTGTGAAGAAGTAATAATGACTGGTTACATAAAATTTAAATGATTTGTAATAAATTAATTAAAGAATAAATATTACCAAAATTTCCTTATTAATCTTTGCTTGTGACATAATATGTTCCTCTCTACGATTAATCAGACCAGAAGCTGCGTCACCTTCATCATCCCCATCGTCATTATCATCATCATCTTTTTCATCATTATTATGCTCAGAACTTTTATCTAATCCTAAAATTTCTTTCTCTACTTTTTTTTGTTCATCCTGCAGATAAAGTTAAAAAATAAACATAAGTAATAAGAACTCTAATATCTAAACAAAATGAAAAATCTCTAAATTGATTCACTGTTTCAATATTATGATTTTCAGAAACAGTGAATCAGTTGATTTTAAGCCTAACATAAAATCTGCATTAATAGTATAGTTCATCACAATCGTAGAGAGAGAGAGAGAGAGAGAGCAACACTTTATTATCATAAAAGGGTGCTGCCCATCTTTAATAGGTTGCTCATACACACACAGTAATAAATCTCTCAATCTTTAAAACCATATAAATACATAGTACCATTTCAATATATATATATATATATATATATATATATATATATATATATATATAATTTTTAATTTAAATTGGGTTTTATTTTAATTATGTTTTTTAAATAATAAAAAAATCAAATAACCAAATTTACTAAAATAATGGTCTATATAAAATCAAGTTTTACAAAATTGTTTAAACCTGAACAGTGGCGATTTTTTCTTTAAGTTCTACCCAACGTTGATCATCTGCTGATAATGTTCCAGTTAAATAAGAGAAAAGTTCATTCAGTTTTTCCTTCAGTGTTGTTTCAGCATTTTCAATCTGAAATTCAAATAATATTAATAGTTCTTAACCATAAATTCATTGTAGACTGTTCAATATTTATCAAGAGGAAAAATATATAATATTTATCAGAAATTTACTAGTATTAGTCCTAGTTAGTTCTCAATATTTTTAACAAAAAAATTTAAAATTTCATTTATTTTTCAGTTTAAATTTAATATACGACAATAGTCACTTATTTTTTATATCTTTACTTTAAAAATTCATTTAAAATTGTTAAAAAAATATTTTGGATAAAAAATTGTTCAGGGTGGATTAAACTTTAGGAGGGTCAGTCTAACTGCAGTTTACCGATTGTCAATTAAGGAAAAATGTAAATTTATTGTTCTAAGCCACGATTACAACTCAACGTACTTGGGTATATTGTTCCCATCATTTATTTACTAATATAATTTATTAATAGAAGGTATATGGAAAACTACGGATCACCGAGCAATTGGTTTTTTTTTTTTATCAGCTTATGAAAGTTATCGCTAATAGCCTGTTAATTATTTTTTAAATTTAACATTTTAAGTTAAAATTTTGCTTCTTTTTTTGTAAATGACACAGTTTTTAACCATGGTTAAAACAGATCTTGCTTTTTGAGTTTTATACCATAAAATGGTTCATGTCTTCTTTTGTGTTTCTCATGGTCTAAAGAGAAAGAAAATATACAAAAATTATTTTCCTTAATAAACAAACTAATCAATAATGGGAAAAAAATATTTCTAAAAACACCTGATCGTATTACACTCTACAAAATGTTAATCGACTGTCTACAGATTATAACAACATGAGGCCAGATTATTAGAAGCAGCTTTATTTTATGGCCAACGTTTTCTGAAATTTAATATTGCAACTTACAGATAATTAATTCTTTAATTAATGTTAAGGAGATTGTATATACCTACTATAAGATTATTCCAGACCTAGATCATTTCAGGTGCTATTCAATAACTTTAAGAAAACAATTATTGAATTAATATGATTAATATGATTAAAGAAGTAAAGATTTCATTGGAGAAAATTCAAAATAAAACAACGAAAGCAACATACGAAAAATACAAGGAAGTCTTTAAAAAATATATGAAGGTATACCAAGAATACTTTAAAAATTATAATACATGGTTTTGCACCTTTCAATATTTTCATTACACATTTCAACATTTTTATTGCACGAAAACCGTGTTCAAGCAATAAGTGATCTTACAGCCTTAATCTTATTTTTTCAATCACTTCCAAGATGATACTTTTTTACAATACAAACAAATAGTCTGTAGAGTTCTCGGTTTATACAAACTTTTAAAAATAAATTAAATAAAATCTAACCTACAATCTAAAATATTACATCTTTTATATTTAAAGCCAAGATGATCCTACATATGTAATAACTATGAAAAAACAAACTAATGATTGATATTAATAATGTTTGCACATTAAACAACTAATTATATCAAATTGGTGCAATACTATTTCTATTTTACCAATTTTTTATTTTAGTTATTTTAATGGAAAAATAGATATCTTTTAAAAACTAACAAAGAACATTTAAAAAAAAAAGAAATTTTGTCAATTCTTACCGAAATTGTTTTTTCAAACATTGTCGTATTTTGTGACAGTGCTGAACCAAGAGCTTTACTAAGTTGATTGATTTTCCTTTGAGCCTCTGAAAGTTTCTCTTGGAGAGTTTTATGTTCCGGAGGGCACTCTAATATTGTACCGCCAATCATCTTTAGTCTTAACTCCTCAATCTGAAACATATTAGTCCGCATGAATAAAATGAAAAAATTCAATGGACATACATCAATCAAACAATTAACCAATTACTGTAGTTGGACAGGTTAAATAATTCTTTACTTTTTCTTTAAAAAAAAAAACTATTTAAATAAATCTGTACTAAAACAACTTGGACTTAGTAATTGGTAAGGAAGTACTGTTTGTAGCCCAAAGTTAGTGAAGGCATATGAGCTGACCAGAATCACAAACGTTCAGGTTTTCAACCATATTTTTATTTTTTATTTATGATATTTACAACAGTATTAAAATAAAAATACATTAATAAATGTGACAAATGAATATGATGCCATGAAAAGACTTGTTGAGAAACTAACCACTGTTAGAATTCTAGTAATATATCTACGTTAGGAGATCACGGGGCCATCTTCTTTTCAGATACCTCAAAAGATTATCCAGAATCGATAAGGAAGTAAGGTTAGAAACGAGAGGATTCAGATGGTTCTAAAGTTTATTATGAAAGGATAGGTATCTCCATTGGGACAAATCAGAAATAAAAGGTCATTAAAAATTTTTTAGTTATGACAAAGGAAGGAGCATTAGTTTTTTTAAGATGAGTTATTCTGGTATATTGAGAAATCCTTGAAGGGTAAAAGGTCAAAGCTGGTCAGAAATATAAAAGATATGCATGGGAAGTTGGTGACCAAAGAAAAGGAAATGCTTGAGGACTGGAGGCAGTCCTTCCCGAAAAAAAATAAGCATGGAAGAACGTCTTCATCATAACTACAGAGACTGCAGAAGGAGAGATATAGTTGACACTTATCTAAAGATATAGACAATGTAATCTGAGAAGAGGAGGTGGAGTTAGTAGTTGACAAAATCCAACCAGGAGCAGATGGCATAGCTCCAGACGTAAAGCACCCGTGAGAAACAGAACAGTGCCTTACTCACTGAGCTACCCAGTTATATTCTCTTAAGTAAATTCACAAATAAAATTGTGAATGCCCATGCTATGACATTCTGTTACATATCTCTATTTTTTCTCTAAACAATACAAAATTTTTTTTAGCTCAATCAAACTAATGTCAATGATTTACCTCGTACTTATAATAATATGAAATAGTTTTTGCATGATTTAAATTTATACTAAGAGAGGATATAGAACATAAGAGAAAAAGATGGCCAATCTAGTAACAAGTACAAATTTTCGACTATCTGAAACTAAAATTATTAATATCTAATTCCAAAGGTAAAATTAAAAAAGAGTGATATAATTCATTTCTTCCAACCCAGCGGATATCATAACTTAAAAGAAAATGCCGAGCATCATAACTTAAAGATTGAAATAATACTGTAAAGAAATGTTATTGTATTGTATTGTATTAGACAACTAACTACTGAGAATAAAATTTCAATTATAACAAAATAAAATTAATTGAAGTGTTCAATTTTTAAGACCTATTCATAATGTCTTTTAAGTACTTTCAAAATTAGTTGTCAATGGCAACTATTTTATATTTTTATTCCGATTAATAAAATAACAACAATATGTATGTACCTCCTTTCGAAGCCTTGATATTTCTGCCAGATGAGGATCTTGGTTAACAACAGGTTTGTTTTTTATTTTTCTAGCTCTGTCTGCATACCGGAGAGTACTCAAAGTCTCATCTTGATTGTAATCAGCTGGGCTGACACATGCAATCATAAGAGTGACTGAATTTCCTCCTAATGAATCTTGAAGCAATCTGGTTAATTTAGAATCTCTGTAATTAATGTATCCATGATTTCCTTCACCTAGCTGTGAAATAACATTTCCTAGAACGAGAAGGCCTTTGTTTATATTTACTCCTTCCTTGAATCTCTCTCCAGTTGTACCAGTCTTTTTTGAACGTTCAGAACCAGCAAGATCCACCAAGTGAAATTTTGAAGTAATGATATTAGTCCTTGAATATTAATTAAGTAAGTTACCAAAAGTTATAAAAACCTCATAACTTATAGTTAAAATAATAAAATTGTTACTTAAATACTAGCAGATATATTATCTTTATAATACATCATATACCTTAATACCATATCAACAACTTTTACACCTTTTAAAGGAATAAATAAAATTTAAGTCCTCAAACATCAGTACTTCACATCTCAATTATTAGTTTATTATGTAGCTATATCAACTTCTACAACCGTTAAATCTAGAAAGATCCAGATGTAGTATATAAGTAAATAGTTCCATATCCAGAATCATATCTTCATCTAGGAACACAAGATGCATTCTTTTTTATTTAAAAATAATTTAATCGTGATAATTTTTAAAAACAGAGTAGGCTTAGGCTTATATGCCCACCATTCTCCAAAGGAATATTAATATTTTATTTCTCTATTTTCACTCTTGATAGTTATTTGTTACGTGTATATAATTATATTTAGATTATTTGTGGCAATTTAAACAAAAAATCGATGTTTTGACCCGACTTGCAGGTCTTCTTCAAGGCTAGAACGCAAAGGATACAAAGTATCCTAGCATTTTTTCAGCATTTAGTATTTATGACCGTCACCCCGGACCATCTCCTTCCTTTAAAAATTATTAGTTTTCAAACATTTTTTATAATTTTTTTTGCCACTCTCCGTTACCTTCTACAATTTCCAGCCCATTTTGTGAAAATTGTTAAGTCGGACCAGTTTTATCAAAGTTACAGTGTATTGAATTTTATAATTAATGATTGTTCACATGCCCATTTATATTTCTTTAGTCATCAAAAAACCTACATAACCATTTAATTTCAATTTTTCTTTAGAAAAATTAAGCTGAAACTCTATACAAGTGAATGGATAGATATTTGTGTATATGTAGCTTGTAAAAATTATTTTAAGAACTAAACTTCTACGAATCTTAAGAAAACACCTTACGGGTTATCCTTTGGAAGAATTTTAAAGTTGATAGTGAAAATTGCATGAGATCTAGAGGACTGAGCATTCATAGCAGTAGATCCTACGACACGCCCAGAGGAACCCTGAAAAACATTGTGAGAAATAATAATGATTCAACAAATATTAATCCCTCATCATAAATAATTATTTTAAATCATAGCATACTTAAACTTTAAAGTAAATAGGTCAGATACTTCAAAATATCATGAATATTGAATTTCAGGTACAAATAATCATTATTTACTTTGCTGTAATTTATTTCTTTTTTACACAAATATTAAATACAAGGGATGACCCAAAAGTAATGGGAATTGGGCTGTGGTAAGGAAGGAGAGTGGGGAAACCCATTGTTCGACCCAGTGTCCATAAGAGACACATCTCCTGAATTAGTGTGCAAAGCTGTGTCGATGTGAGTACATCGGTTTGCTTGTGAGAATTTTTTTAGAGAAACAACTTTTTCCATTTTGCCAAAAACATAGTGGCCAATTGTGGAGCGGCTGAGAAATTTTGTTTCCTGTTGTGGAAATTGGCCGTGGAAACTACTGTCCACTCCTCCCTCCCTACTAACCAGATTTAGCCTCCAGTGATTTCTTTTTGTTTCCCTGACTCTAAAAGGACATGAGAGGAAAGCATTTTGCCACTGGGCAGGAGGTAAAACAAAAAACTTCATAATTTTCAGAACAGCATACTGGGTGACCTAATTACAAAGGACAAAAACGGACTAAATTAAAAACAGAAAAACTTGTTGCCATCTAATCTATAATAAAACGTGATTAATTTAATGTGGGGAAATAAATGTATTGAATTTAATTACAACAAACAAAAAAGGATGAATATTATTCATGCTTGGTAAAATATTACAGTAATGAAATTTTATATTTACATTTTTATTATTTGTCCTTCTCCTTCCTCACCTATTCGGTTATATGGGATTTTCCTGGACCAGGGAGTAAGGGTGGGGGGATTAATGACAAGAGTTAAAAGTTACATTTTTCCGGTCCCAGGTACACAAACTCGTAATTGTTATATCGTATTTGATTCAGGTTACCGGGCAACAGCAGTGCTTAGCCCACTCCCAATATATTTTATATTACTAATTTTATATTTACTGTATTTTTTTTGGGAGGGACGTTTTTTGTATCCTCTATATGTTTACAATATATTTGTTGATTTTAATTACAAACCTCTTTTAATCTTCCTAATGTTTCCTCAGGAGATCTAACCTCTAATTCCGTTAAGCCAGGAATACAAACTGTGTTACAATGTTCTCTCATTTCTACTATACTTTGCTCTCTGGGTTTTTGCGTAAGTAAATCATAGAGACTTTCATTGTAAAGCTGAAAACATATAATGTAGATACAAAATAAGATTCAGTTCAGCTGGTCATACAATGTAGAATAGAATCGACAGGTGTAATTATATAGACCATGAAAAGAAAAACATAATGAAAGTAAATAATAATTTAGATAAGACTTAAATATAAGAGACAGGAGTCAGCAAAAACTGATAAATCAATATAAATAAAAAAATTTACAGACAATGAATTTTTACTAGTTTTGAATTGGAAATTCAAGGTGGTAGCTCATTTCCAGATCATTTTGAGCACATTGTAGATGAAATCCTAACCTAAAGTGAACCTTAAGCTACTACAAAAGGTTGAAGGTTCGTTAAACACGTCTACTTTCATAAATAACTCAGGTTGTTTTGATATTTCATATATAATGTGCTCAAAATTATTCAAACTACAAAATTACAAAGTTTCACTTTTCCCAGCACCTGGAAAACTGCCCTTGTTCGTCCACTGAACAAAACCTTTAATCCCGCAACCCCTAATGATTTCCATCCAATTTCCCTGTTATCTAACCTTTCCAAACCTTTAGAATGAATAGTACAATTCCAACAAACCCACTATCTCAAGCAAAATAACCTTCTGAAGTGCTTTCATTCAGTCAGGTTTTAGACCGGACTACTCTACTCATTCCGCCCTCATTAAAATCTCCCAAGATCTCCACACAACCATAGACCAATATAAACTTACCATCCTGATCCTTCTTGATTTATCTAAAGCATTCGACTAAGTGGACCATAATATCCTCCTAACCAAACTTAAAAATATTTCCTTATCATCTAATGTCCTCAAGTGGTTCCAATCCTTTCTCACCGGTCGTTCCCAGTAAGTTGTAGTCCCCAACAACTCTCTATCAGTGTCTCTACATCTGCCCATAGGCGTCCCACAAGGCTCCTCTTTATCCCCCATCCTCTTTTCCATCTATATCAACGACCTCCCTTCCTCTATCATGCACTGTCAATATCACATATATGCCGATAACGTCCAAATTTACTTTTAAATCCTTCAATCTGGCGGATTCCTCTAATGCCATTCTGAAACAGCAACAAGACATCAATAGAATATGCGCATGGGCGAATCTTGCCGTCCTGATCGGATTCCCCTCACTCCTCAAATCCATTTCAGTATCTCTCAATGTAATGGAATTATTACACAACTTACCTATTCCTTCCATACTACGGTTAAAAACCTTGGCGTTACCCTCTCCTGGAAACCACACGTCTCCTAAATTTCCCGCTGAACTATTTCCATCCTGAAACAGTTTAACCATCTACGTTATCTTCTTCCATTCAAAATCCATCAATTCCTGGTTTCACCTCATTTTCCCCCACTTCGACTATGGCTGTATGGTGGCCTCTCGGGAGAACTCAGAGCTAAGCTTAAACGTTTAATGAATTGCTCAATACGCTTTATCTTCGTGATCTCAAGGGATACGCAAATTACCCAGTTTTACACCGAGTTGAAGTGGCTTTATCTGTCCTACCATCAATAGTTCCTTACTACCTTCCTACACCAGGCTATTAGAACTCGGCGACCCTCCTACATTCTACAGATCCTACAATTCAAATGCTCCTTTTAATCCTGTCCCACCAGATCCCGTACGTCCGACCATTATCCTCCTTACTGAACAACCGCATTTGACAAATCCTTTGTTAATTCTAGGTGTCTCCCTCTAGAATTCTATCCCCTCTGATATTCGACACAAAAAGTCAGTATCTTCTTTCAAATCTCTCCTCTTCAAACATCTACTCCATTCCCAATACGGTCGATCATGAAATGCACTTAAAAATCTAAGTCGTAAGAATCTCAAAGAACCCCAGATACTTTGATGATTATTTGATTTATTTCACTTTTTCTGTTTATTTTATATTTACATACATTTTTATTATTTGTACTTTTATTTTATTACTAATCATTCTGTAAATATTTGAATGTATTTTATGGACACACCAGAATATTAATATATATTCTATATTTGTAATTTGATCTAAAGGGACACTAGTCCTAGAATAATAAAATTATTTTCATTCATTCATTTCATTCAACTGTAAATATCACTCCCAACTAAGGTATATCTATAAGTATCATAAACTGCATATCTGCTGAGAATTACCTCAATAAACGACACTGAGACTTTATATTCTTTATCAGTAGAACTATTAATTTTGTTGAAAATATCATATATTGCTCTTGGGATAACACCAAGCTCACCATCGCCAGAATAATTGGTACCCATCGTGTAGGTCTTTCCAGACCCTGTTTGTCCATAAGCTAATATAGTTACATTGTAACCTGATAACAAAAAGTAAATTTTAAAATTGAAAAAAAAATTTGTTTACAAATAAGGGTACTCCTCACTCAAAATTAAAAGTAGGTCATAATTTTTTTAGGGCATCCTATGATATTTGTCTACTCAATGGAATATAATAACTATAATTTAGTTATTTATAAACTTTGATTTAGGAGTCGCTACTACCACTTAATATTTTAATTTTCTAAATAAAATAGGTATGAAAGAATAACTAAGTTCTATTGAAAATGAGTTTGAATTTAAAATAATGTTACATGCATAATAATATAAAAATGTAAACCTTAAAATGAAATATAAATTAAAATGGGCTAACAATTTAAATCTTAAGACGTTAAAATAGATTTTTGAAAATCCAGATACGTATTTCTGAATTTCTAAACTGAAATAACTAAAATTGTTTCTGTCCTTTATATTTTATAACAAGCAGTTTGTAGATTTCCGTCAATGTAACTCTACATTCAGCACAGTCAGTTACAACTTTAAAAGTGAACTTGCTCTAGTAAGAACATTTTCTTTCCATTTAGTTACGAAAGTTGCAAAAACTCTAAGAAATCCTATCAATAACGTACTAAAATTTTAGTGTTTACCTAAACAATTAAATTCTATTGAAATATTTAAAAAATTGTTAACTATTTCAAAATTCTAAAGCTCAGTAGCGACCCCTAAAATTTTTATAGGTCTTTGTTTATATCATACAGCACACTAAGAGGGTGTCCGGGAGATCTTCAGAGAGCCACCCAGATACACATGCATAGTACAATACTAAAGATTTAAGCAATACGTTTTTTTTTATATATCACCTTTAAATAGATTGTCAATTAGAGACTCTACTGCATCATTATAAACTTTTCCTTGTCCTTCAAATTCATCAAAAACAAAATTGTATGTGAACATCTGGCTTCCTTTTCCAATAGTTACTTGAGGTTCTTTAGGAATGCGCTCTATACAAGGACGGCATCCAATATCCAATTCAGAAGTGACCAGAGGTCTAATACGAAGAGCTACTTTGACACAATCCATCTATGTACCAAAATAAATAAGAACATCATAAACTCGCAATCATAAAAAAAATAAAATAAACTGTCATAATCCAATTACTTAATAAAAAACAGTAGTAAAAAAATCTAAATAATACAATACATTTTTTTATGTAAACGTTAAGTTTAATTAAGTATTTTAACTACCATTATGCCAAGTAAAACCAGATATTTCAAATTTTAAGTCTACTTATTAATCTATATATGAACAAAACATTACAAAAATACCTTTTAGTATAAAGTATTTGATGACTAAAAAATGAACTTTAGTAAAACATTAATATGCAAATAGGTCTCGAATAAATAACGGATAATACATAAAATGATTCATCCACACTATTTCTTGATAAAAACCATTTATATCCAATGGTCGGGTGAAGCTTGTTAATAAAAATAAATATAAAGCCAACAAAACTTTTCGGTACCTGGCTTCAACTTTAAAAATAAGTATAAAACCGACAAGACCTTTGTGTACCTTGATCCGACTTTAAAAATAAAGCAACGCGAGTTGAGCGGGAAACGTTCACATACACAACGTTCAATTAGATAACGGTCACCTAATCATCTACATTTATAAGTAATTTACAACAAAATACGATAAAATTAACTTCAAGTTAATCCACTATCAGCCATATTTACACCAATTTAAAAAAATTTGTTGTCACTAATGACTACTCATCAAAATGACGACTTTCGGCTCGTCGAGCCATTGTCAAGTCAAAAAAAATTTTTTCATTTACAATTCTATATTAAATTTTAACATATTCCAAATTATAAAGATACTTAATCTGTACCTAAAATACCCTTCATGTACCGTCATATTCACTTTTCGTATGTACACAAGCGTCCTACAATAAAATACAATTCCATTATTATTGTCATGGTCACCTTTAATTATTTAACAACATATTTTTAACTCATCTACTATTACAGATGATTGCAAAATAAGTTAAAATATAACCATGTTGTTCGGAGCCCCACATGTCCATCCATCGTCTTTGCTATTCATGACTGGGTTTTCTTATAGGTGTAGGGAAGCCTATTATTATGAACATATATAGTCTTACTCAATATACATGTGGATTCATTTTAAGTAATGATTAGTTGATTTATTTCAAATTTTATTTTTTCAATAGATCGAGCTATAAAGTACATATTATCCGTAGCTTAAACAGCATAAACCTAAATTGTATTTCAAAAAACACCAAAAATAAAATAAGCTAACTGGAATCTCACAACATATATCAAACTAAACATGAGTTTGATTTTTCAAAAATGCCAAAATCCTAGCATAATGAAGAAAATACGGAATTAAACGTGAGAATTAAAGAATCAATATACAAATCTAAAAACTTAATAAACCCAGTAATAATCATACAGACGTGAGAATAATAATATCTTTTTATCTAGTTCTATTGAAATATCAAAATTTGATATAAGAATCAACTAATATTACTGAAAACTAGATTCCACATGTGAATATGAGTAACAGCATTATATATGTTCATAATAACTACTTGCCCCTCTCCGATAAGAATTAAACCATCACTGAATTGAAATGAGATGGATACTGTGGGTGAATCCTGAAACATGGTAAATTTAACTTATTTTGATCATGTATAGTAATGATTAGTAATAATAATGTTGTTTAAATAATTAAAGTGAACATGACAATAATAAAGAATTGTATGATATTTGTAACCTTGCATTCGCGATAAGGAATATGACAGGAACATGAATGGGTATTTTTAGTAGCTAATATGTTTCTTTATAGATTTGAAATATTTAAAAATTTAATAAATATTGGATAGTAAATGAAAAAAATTTTTTATGACTTGAAAATGGCTCGACGACCAAACGTCGTCATTTTGTGATAGTCTTTAATGACAACAAAATTTTTTTAAAGTATGTGTAAATATTGCTGATATGGAGTAACTTGAATATTAAAGTATCACCGAAGAAATTGAGTAATATTGTGGATAAAATTAACGCTAATTTGACAAAGTTATTTTTAAATTATCCATTATTTAATCTAATGTCCTGTCATATAAACGAGGGGATGTGATTTTTATTGATAGAAATAGCATGTCAGGCATGAGGGAGGTCGGTACGCGTCGGCATCTACTCTTAACTTGAAATAAAGAAAAAGTTAATCCCGGAGATCCCTTAACCAGCTCCTTTTCAGCCTTCGTCGGGCGTTTTCTGGCATATGCCTTGTGGCCATGTTTTGTATTAGTATGTTGGTATGTTCGTGAAGTTTGGCATGGAATTTTTTATATAATGTCCGAATGTGATTTTGTACTACCGCTATGTTTAAATCTGTATGTAATGTTTTGTTACTGACGTACTAGGGTGAGCGCGTGATGAATTTTAAAGTTTTTTATTGGATAGTGTGTATTTTTTGCTATCCCGTAGATTTGTGATGCTTAAATATATATATCGATTTTAGTAAGTATAAGCATTTAGTTGTTGTCTCATTTTTAAAGTAGATCGTTTGTATAAAAGAGAATACAAAAGCCTTAGTCCATTATTTAGGGTGACTTTTTTTTTATAGAGTGGCCCCCAGATCATCCTCCGGTCGAATGTGAGTCCTAAGTAATGAACTGTGTTAGTCTGTTGTATGAGGGCATTGTTATTTTAAACTAGTGTACAAGTGTCATGTCGGAGAGTCAAGGTGATGTGCTGAGATTCATCACTGTTGAGTTTAATTTTTCATTTTTTAAACCATTCCTGGAATATTTGTAAATAATGTTATAGGATCAACGATGTTTGTGTGATGTTAACATGTCTGGTGAGAACAGCAGTGTCATCTGCATAGGTTGCAATTAATGTGTTAGGGTACGTTGGTACATCATTTATGTATTTAATGTACAGTAAAGGTGCAAGAATCGATCCCTGCGGTACTCCGGCCCTTACAGAATGTATAGAAGAGATTTCCTATCTCTGTCGGACAGATAAAAATCTGTTTGAAAGGAAGGAGAGCAAAATGAGGTAATAGGTAGAAGGAAGAAATGATTTAAGTTTGTAGAGCATTCCATCGTGCCAGAATCTGTCGAATGCTTGAGCAGTATCCAGAAATACGACAGTAGCGTACAATATATCTTCTAGTGCAATTGAAATGTAATCCGTGTTTCTGTGAAGTTGGTGTATGGTTGAATAAAGTGAACGGAATCCGAATTGGTGTTCAGGTAGACTTGGTTCTCTGTTAGAATGTTGAGTAAAAAATATATATATTTTAATGTAGTCTGTAAAATATATTTTTTTTTAATTTTAGAGCAAATCGGAAGTAGACTAATAGGTCTGATGGAGGAACGTCTATTGGAATCTTTGTTCTTTTTTTTGTATCATTAGTATTTGTGAAAACTTCCATTGCAATGGGCATTTAATTGTCCTTAGTATGGGGTTGAATAGAGTTGTTGGATAGACTACCGCTTTTCTGAACATATACTGGAGTAGCTCAGCATTGATCAGACCATACCCTGGCGCTTTTCTTTTGTGTAACTTCGGAATCGCTTGAAGTACTTTAGATGGAGTGAAAGGTGGAAGAGGTAATGTTATTGGTAAGGGGATTTCAAGAGAATCTTGTATATAATTTTGATGTTCATTGTATGAATAGTCTGTATGTGGTGTGAAGACAGTCGATAGATGGTCAGGAAAGAGTTCAGCTTTTTCACTGTCAGACACGATCCAAGAACCATCTTTTCGTAGTAAGGCAGACATTTCGCGATGCTTTAGTAGCTTTTTAGTTTGTCCCCATAAGGTTCCATCGTCAGTGCAGTGGTTATTTATAAAATATCATAGTTAATTTTTTGAATTTTTTTATTTGTCATTTTAGTTCATAATTTATTCGGTTATATGTCTTTTAGGATAATTTACCAAAACATATTTCATATTTCTTTTTCCTTAAAAATGGGAAATGATCTCTTTTCATCTTCATTTTTTTAGTATTACCTTCTTCTAAGTAATTGTGACATACATTAGTTGGGGAGAACCTGTTTCGCTTTCAAGGGATTTCAAATGGTGGGGAAATATTTCCTTAAAATAGTCTCTTTGGTGGATGTCATTCACTGATGGTTTCAGTCCTCTGTGATACCCCAGAAAATCCTGTTCCATTGATCCGTGTGTCGTTGGTGGCGACACCTCAATCGGCCTTTGTCATTTGTTATAATAAAGAGAGAGCCCAAAATAATTTATCGCCAAATGTTACCTAAATTGTGAAATGTGTCCAATATGCATATAAGTCCTCCCTCCTCCACGGAAGTCGTGCCTTTAATATCGATTAAATTTGCCTTTAAAGATCGAGTAATTAACGAGCATTACAAGATATTTGTTCTTAGATAACAGTTATTTCACAATGCGGAAATTTGATTACGTTTGGTCATGGGTGTAGTATGAATTGAAACCACACCATTCCAAGATGGTTTGACCCATGGATGGTGGAGATGGGAGGACAAATAGTAAACTCAGGAAATCGTAATTAAAATAAGTGTATCCCATAAATTATTTTGAGAGTTTATATTCACTTCAAGTGAACAGTACTGAAATTTGCCAAACTAGGGATGCATGTTACCCAACCAATTCGGTGATTTGGGAAGTATTCTCTATTTCGGTGCTTAAATTAATGATTAATCAATGTCACCTGTTCAAGAGCTAAGCACGCTCGGCGTTGCTTAACTTTGGTTATCTATTGCAAGCGCCTTAGCCCGCATGGCTATCCCAGCCCTCCCTATATATATATATATATATATATATATATATATATATATATATATATATACATAAATAAAATAAAAGTCATCTAAAAATCATTCACTCTCATTTATATGCAACTTTTACATTCGCCCAAGGGACTCCGAGCCAAACTTTGTCTGCCACATGTGGAAGGCAAAGCAATGCTCCAGAAGATCCCAGCACTCCTCTACCAGCTGTGCCACTGGAGTTGACATCAAGTGGAGACTGAGAGAGAGCAATAAAGCTACAAACATCCAGGATAGTGAGTATAGAAGCTGACCACTGCCAGAACTCCATTGACATATTTACAAAATGTCTCCAGGCCAGCGCCCTTTTAACCTCGTCGGAGGGTGGAAGTGACATGCTTACATTTTGATTTCTTAACTTTGTGATGCGCCAATCGTTGCACCGCTGCTCAATCAAAGAGAGAGATGTCTTTGCATGTCGAGGGATGCTATTTCGGGGTCTGAATGGGAGGATAGAATAGCACTATCATCAACAAATGTTGCTAAGAAGTTATCGGGATTTGAAGGAATATCGGCAGTGAAGAGGAAATAGAGAACTGGGTCCAAGAAACTGCCTTGAATGAATGAATAATTTTATTATTCTGAGACTAGTGTCCCTTTAGAACAAATTACAAATACAGAATATATATTAATATTCTGGTGTATCCATAAAATACAATTAAATATTTACAGGATGATTGGTAATAAAATAAAAGCACAGATAATAAAAAGATATAAAAACATACATACATATCAAATAAATAAACAAACTA